AAGTCTAAACCAACAGTATAAAGATTTTTAAAAATTATATGTTGCCTTTTTGTCCTCTGGGTCAAAACTGAAACTCTTCTGTAGATTTGGATCAAGAATGTACTCCACCAAATGCACACAGACACAGTAGGATTAAAGAAATGTTTTTAATGCGGGAGCTGGTGCCTCCCTTTGGTGAAAGCGTGGAAAAACAGAGTGAGCTGTTGCAAAAGTTTTGCAAAGCTGCAGACTTGTCAGATAAACTAAAGTACGGACCTTTGTTAAAGCTCCCTACCAGAATCTTATTCGCCATAAAGTTTATTAAGCTCTTTTCTTATTTGATCTTCAGTGGACAAAACAATCCTGTAGGTTCACACGTCCGTCACACAATCAGCTTTTAGTTTGATTCACAGAAGTCTCTGAACTTTGACCTCAGTCTTCAGTTCCGACATTCTTTTCACTCTTTTCAACTTTGTTCTCCATAAGTCTGACTTGCTCCTTTGAGAAATGTTCAGTTTTAGTTTGAGACTCAAGCTCTGCTTGTTGGCTGTTTCACAAACTTCCTATCTGTCCAACTTCAAAGTGTGCATGTAAAAAACTGTATTCTAATATTTATCAGCTTGCTTCACAAAAAAAAAAAAAAAACTTGATGCAGACTGTGTGTACACTGTTGTTTGAAGTGGCTGCAATTTGTTGACTAAATCCTCAGATTTTCAAAATTGAGTGATTATTTCTAAACATCATAGAGAAATGTATTTGAGAGGTATGAACTTTTCAGAAGCGGTTTTTAAATAAAAATCTAAAATTTTGGTAAAAAGCTTTTTCTTTTCTTGGTTAATGAACTGCAGGTCGTTCCATTCGACTTTGTCCTGTGCTTGATTACGCACACTGATGTGTAAATTTTTATCCTTTTTTCATCACTACTCCAATAGGCTGACAGACTTTTTTTTTGACTGTTTGTTCATGTTTTTTTTTTTATTAAATTTTTTTTTTGTTATGTTTGTGTTTGCCTTAGTTGTTTAACTCTGAGAAATAAAGTTTAAAAAAAAAAGCATTTTCTTAGCCACAAATCTAAAAGTGTTTTTGTTTCTATGAAGCCTATAATCTACTACATTCTAAAAATTAACAGTTTTGTGTGTGAGATAATTTTACTCTGGAATGATTGAGGTATCTTTTTTTCAAGTTATGCTTTATTCTTGAATGATTTTCAGCTCTTCTTGATGGACTACACTATTATACAAAGTGCAAATCCTGGTTGGTGAACGTGTTTTTAACGTTACATCTTTTACTTTCAGCTGCTCCCTTCTTCAGGGGTTGCCACCACGAACTAACTCACACAGAGTTCATGCTCAACCAGATCCAATAATGTTCAGGTCATCTGGACAGTTTCTTTTATGTAGAGACCTTTCGCCCTCTCGCCCTCAGGCTGTGGCTGCCTGCCTAGGAGGAGTTGACGGAGAAAGGACAGCCCCCAGAAGCCATCTTATCTCCAGCGAACTGGTTGGTCCACTTAAGGAGTTTACTGCTTGGTGGAGAAACAGTTTACTTGGAACTCTTCAGACTGATGAAGCCCTCCGGATAGAGGGCGAAATGTCTCTACATTTCAATTTTCTACAAAAAAGAAACGGTCCAGATGACCAGACTGGGCATTATTGGATAACTCACACAAAGACTTGGCAATTGTTTATATCCCAGTTGCCGTTCATGACACAATCACAGACCACCGAGCTACCACAGCCCTCTGTGTGGAGCAGAGAGCTAGTGTGCCCGGGGGAGCAGATGCAGATGGAGTGGGTTATGGGCCTTGATCGAGGGCGCAAAAAATGAGGGTGGAGGGCGGCAGGTGTGGGTGCTTCACCGTTCACACCTACATTTTGATGCTGTCTGTCCGGGGGATCGAACCAGTGACCTTCTAATCACAGGCTCGCCTTCCCTAACCTCTGTGCCATCACTCTCCAATGTTGATGTACATGATCAAAAAAAAACCAAAAAAAACATTTATGTTCAATGTGTATGCTCAGTTTGGGCCCTAAAGCATAAAACCAGTTTCTTATTATTTTAATTGACAATCACCACAAAAATTACATCCAAGCTAAATGAATGAATGATTGAATGAACTTTATTAAATAAGGGACAATGTACAAATCAAACATAAATGTCACCATTTGATGCGCCGTACCAGATTATAGCAAAAGCTGACTCACATCTGCAGAAATGGTGTTATTCTGTCAATCAAGTGAACAAAAACAAAAAAAAAATCCGTCAGGAAATAAGAAAACTGTGTTAAGTTGTTGTTTTGGTTTAAAAAAGGCCTATTTTTATTTGATTTAACAAGATTAAATCAGGTGGACGGATTCTTAATTCTTAATCTTGTTAGATTTATCTACCTGGATTATACGTATGCATCAGGATATTTTTATTTTAGGTTTTATTAAGTTGGGATTCAATTGAATTAACATCTAATAAGATCATTATTTAAGACAGCTATAAAGTAAATGTTTTTTTGTTGTTTTACACGTGTTTTTGAATGTACTTTCGGCAAGCATTATTAGTTTAACCTCTTTACAAAGGAATAAAATAAAAATGACCTCACTCATTCCTTAATATTACTGAAGTGTAATAAAGTCTTTTACTGAGAATAAAAGTGTATTCCTTGAAGAAAGGCACATTGTCTGTTACTTTGCACGCCAAAGTTTCAATCAAAGATCTTACATAATCTGTTAGCACCCATAAGTGTTTGATACAAATGACTCACAGCTACTACCAAAGCAAATTTTAGCTCAACATCTGTAAAATGTATTAAGATGTAGCCATGTTGGTGTTTGCCAGGGTTGTTTAGCTGTGGTGGCCATCTTGAATCAAGGTGACTACAAATGTTAAGTAGTCTGGTTACTTCCTGATTGTTTCAATAAATCTCTTCTACGGTTCATGAGATATTTTGCCAACAGACAACAACACTCTCCACAGACTCGGCTTTCATTCAGTGGGCGATGAACAATTTATTTTATTTAACTAAAGGAGTCATACTGAGCAACATCCTCTCATCACGGTCACTGTATCAAGGACTCAACTTTTGTTGTGACTGTGCTAAAAATAGTGTCGAAAGTAAATTATTCACTAAGAGCAGGCGGTTAGGTCTGAGTGAAGTGTACAACCTGAGAAACTGGCTGAATTTTGACAGAATGAAATGGAAGATAATGTGTTAAATTTAACTTAGAACCAGGGGCGATTCTAGGATCTAACCCTTAAGGGGTGCTTAGCCCCCAGTACTGACAGCGCTCCCCATGGTGTGGTTTGTGAGAAGTGAAAAAGCTTACAGCACCTGTTATTCCCAGCTGGTCTCCCATCCAACCAGGCCTGACCCTGCTAAGCTTCTGAGATCAGATGAGATTGAATGAGTTCAGGGTGGTATGGCGGTAAACGAGGAGCTCAGTCACAAAAAGACTTTTAAATGATCATAGCAAACAAAGACTAAACTTATGCAACATATATCTGCATACAGAACACACAAAACAAAGCACAACTAGTTTGAAGCATTAGCCTTTAATCTAACCATTAAGTATACAATCTAATTATGACAGAAAATAGAGGATTTACCTGCAGTTGCCTTCATACAGATGTGGTACTTCCTGTTTATCACTGCTGTTCATGAAGTTGGCCGCAGGGTTTTATCCATATCATACATTTTTCCAGACTCTGTTTAGGTTTTGGAATTTGAATAAATTGTATTCCACCCTCTAAACATTCAGAGTAATGCTGTATGAATTACATGTTCCCCAATGACAATGTTTAACCATTTTTTTCTGATGATTTTTCATGAAATCCTTCTGAGCACAGTGTTTGTAATGCAAAACCACAATGATGTTGTTGGAGGAAAAGTGGGTGCACTTCGTACAGGTAAGACTCACTTTGGGACAGATTGAGGTCGCTGATTGGTCAGTTGCTGGCAAGCCTGCTGGATTGATTGACAGGTGGCATCGAGAATCCAACTAGTGCAAAAAAATAAATAAAAAATCATAGATTTTACTGACCCGTTTATAAGTGTCATCATTTATTCCATTTTTATTCCACATTTATTCATATTATTAGTGAATCTAAAGTTTGAGAACTGAATTTCCTTAAAAATCATAATGACGGTTTCTTTACTTTTCAGGGGGGCCGAGTCAAAATGTAGGGGTACTCAGCACCCCCTCAAAAGAGACTAAAATCACCCCTGCTTGGAACAAATCAACAGACATGAGCGTTTTTGTTAACACAAACTCAAACAGAAACTTAACACCAATGTAAAACTGCTCTGAAGTGTTGATGCTTTAAACTGTAACATTTCACAACTTTTTCTTGCTTTAAAATCGACTCAGTGTGAGTCACACTTGATGACTTAAATTATTTTAATTGCTTTAATTGAAATCAGAGAGCCTGTTGAAGACCTGATCTTAAGATTAGTGTGCCTTTAGTGTAACTTCTAGCAACAATGTGATGTAACTTCCTCTGAAGTTCATAGTTTCCAGATGTCTGTGTGACAACAACATCAACCTATTGTGAACTCATGGTTTCTGAAGGTGTAACACAGCATCCCCCGACACAGGACCATATTTGGTGACGGTGACACAAGGGATTTGTAATTTTAAACACACTGGGTCACCTCACCCATCTGTGAAGGACTCCACCCACCTGCTTATTCAGGTGAAACTGTGTGTGTGTGTGTGTGTGTGTGTGTATGTATGTGTGTGTGTGTGTGTAGGGAGGGTGGCAGTGATGAACAATACCACTCTTGTTTCATCAAATTTTAATATTTATACCATACTATGGTGGAACTTTGTGTTTGATTGTCAATATAAATAAAGTTTTTATATTTTCTTTGACAATCTAAAGAAGAAAGTCGTTGGGGTGATGTGTAAACAGGCTTGGGGAGGTATGGTGGGGGGAGGACCTGCACTGTTCTGATGAGGGTGTGTTGTTTTTCCTCCACTACTCCTCCTACTCCAGACATATGCACCTGCTTTCCTCCGTATCCTCCCCCACTCAGCAAACTCATCAGACTACCAGGAAACAGAAGAAGGCGCACAGTCGGAGTTGCTCCTGCAGAACAGCTACAACGCACAAAGAGGACTTTTGAGACTAAAAGGGCAAGAAATTTCACTTGAATTTCATCTCAAAGAACAAATCATCCGTTGACGATGGTGTCTGCTGGGTTTCAAATCCTGGGCACGGCCCTGGGGCTCATAGGCTGGATTGGCACCATTGTTGTTTGTGCCCTTCCCATGTGGAAGGTCACTGCTTTCATCGGCAGCAACATTGTGACCTCACAAACCATCTGGGAGGGTATTTGGATGAACTGTGTAGTCCAGAGCACCGGTCAGATGCAGTGTAAGGTCTACGACTCCATGCTGGCCCTCAGCACTGACCTCCAGGCCGCCCGGGCCCTCATCGTTGTTGCCATAGTGGTGGGCATCATGGCCATCCTGCTCGCCGTGGCTGGTGGCAACTGCACCAACTGTGTGGAGGACAAAACAACAAAGATGAAGGTGGGTGTTGCGGCTGGGGTTATGTTCATCATAGCCGGGGTCCTCTGCCTCGTACCCGTCTGCTGGACAGCTCAAACCATCATACGGGACTTTTATAACCCCATGTTGACCGACGCTCAGCGGAGAGAGCTGGGCGCTTCGCTTTACATCGGTTGGGGCGCGGCTGCTTTGATGCTGATCGGAGGAGGAATGCTCTGCTGCAACTGCCCACGTAAGGATGAAAATGGATACGCCGCAAAGTACACAGCTGCCAGATCCAACATCTCAGCACCATCCTCTGGAAAAGACTACGTCTGAAACAACGCGACACGTTAACTGGGACACATGAACTGGTGCTACTTGGTCACGCTGGTGAAAACTTACCCCCGATTTGATTGAAGCAAGAGAAGAACTGCACCTCAAAGAGAAATGTCATTGTCGTTAATTACAGTACTTCTATTTGTAGTTGTTGGCTTTTGTATGGATATTAGTGAACTTTCCTCATAGCATATTATCACTTTTAAAACTATTCAAATGCATAAATATGTATACTTACTTTCCAGTCAAGTGGATTTTTTTTAAAAGAATCATGTTTTTGAGATACATTGTGTCACAAATGCACTGTAAATAAACATGTTTTTGTTTACAACTCTGATCTCATCTGTTTTTAATTTCACATTGTTACCACACTGTTTCCATCCCTTTAAATGGCGTCAAAATAAAATAAAAAATCTTTCGCTGAACTTCGCTGAAGTTGTTTTTTGAACATTAGCTCATTTAGAACACATTTATTAATTTTTATCAGTCTGTTTCTGAACTGAGTTTTAAACACAACTTTAAAAATCCACTTTAAAAAAGTACCTCACAGCATTTTGAGAAGTATCCATTGTTCGACTTTCTGGTTGATCAGGTTTAGGTGGGGCTCGGAAACGAAAAAAAGTTGACTGCAAACTGCCGTTGTTCAAACTGTGAGCCTTCTGGCAAAGGAATTTGGGCTTTGTTTCCCCATTCAGTAGCACAGTAAAAATGAAACCCCTATTTCTTTTTTGTTTCAACTGTTGGTTCAGTTTTGTAAAAGTAATTTTTTTTTACTCAGAGTTGATTTCATTTAGACAGTTTCCTGTTAATACAACCAATGAACCATAAATACATGATCATCTCTGACTGTAAAAACACATGGATATCAGCAGTACCGCTCAACATTTAAACAGAAAGTGGATATGTTTTCTTGCACTTCTTATTACGGTGCAATCTGTGGAAAGTTGTGGCGTTTGTGTGTGTTCAAACACAGCTGGCACTTGAAGCCATTGTTCCCAACCTTTAAACGCTTCTTGAGGTAACAAGGCTTGCATGTGTGGGAACAACGACCAAGGGCTGTAGGTATCAGGTCTCAGATTTCCCCCTTTGTCTGGTAGAACATTAACTCCACCCTGAAGTCTGAACCACAAACTTTATTGTATAGGACCTCTACGCATCAGAGCAAACTGCAAGCAGGAGGTAAAACCGCTCAACCGGTGACGGCTTGAGCGTTTAATAATCCTCGAGACGTGAACATCGCAGTGAGATTCTCCTTTTTTTGTGGCTCCATCATGGCTTCTCAGGGTCTGCAGCTCTTGGGTCTCCTGCTGGCCTTCATCGGCTGGTTGGGCACCACTATCACCTGCGCTCTGCCCATGTGGAGAGTCACCGCGTTCGTCGGGGCAAACATCGTGACCGCGCAGTTAATCTGGGAGGGCCTTTGGATGAACTGCGTGGTTCAGAGCACGGGGCAGATGCAGTGCAAAATGTACGACTCTATGCTAGCTCTGCCTCAGGACCTCCAGGCTGCCAGAGCCATGGTGATCATCTCTGTAATGGTGGGGGTGTTCGGCATGCTCATGGCCACCGTTGGGGGGAAGTGCACTAACTGCATTGAGGATGAGGCAGCCAAAGCTAAAGCCTGCATTGTAGCCGGAGTGATTTTTATAATCGCCGCCTTGCTGATCCTCATTCCAGTGTCCTGGTCAGGTCACACTCTCATCATGGACTTTTACAACCCTCTGCTGATTTCAGCTCAAAGACGGGAGCTCGGAGCTTCTCTTTACATCGGCTGGGGCTCCGGTGGGCTGCTTCTGCTGGGAGGAGGCCTGCTCTGCAGTAACTGCCCCACCAAGGACAGCAGACCTTACATACCTGCCAAGTTCGTCCCGTCAAGAAGTACATATTCAAATGTGAACTATGTGTGAGTCCTTTGCTTTTAAATACAACTTTTTGGTTTTTGTTTAATCCACTAAGACTAACATTTTTAATTTTACAGTAGCTTTGGAAAAGAAACAAGATTTTTTTTCTGATCTTGTTTTCAAAAATGCTTATATTCTGTTTTTTTCATGTTCTAAAATATAAAAAAAAATATGAAATCCAAGCAAAGTCCCTTAATCCATTTCACTGTTGCAGAATGAACCTGAATCGTATGTTTTAATCGTTTATATTTCAAGTGTCAGTAATAAAGATTTTTTAGTTTGCCCTTCTGCTTGTGTCTTTTATTTTTCACCTGCATTGTAATAAAACTGAAACTGTTCTCCTCGTGATGGTAAAACGCTCAGGAATCAGAAGAACAAACTGCAAGGAATTTACTGTATGTGCCTGAGGTGTTTGCTGATCTGTAATTAAGCGCCTTTGTGTTGAGACACTGACTTAGAGTTTCTGTCATGAGTTAAATGGATGTCACCGTCAGAGACAACTCTCCTTTCTGTATGCTTGGATTCATGTTGCTCAGAAACAGTTTTACATGCTCGAAGAATGGATATTTACTTTACCCATTTAGAAAACATCTGCCAAGTCTTGGCAGGATGATAAGAGCCTCTTTACACATTCAGACCCAAAACCTTCTTAAAATTTATATATATATATATATATATACATATGTTTGTGTGTGTGTGTATTATATATTTTTATTTTATACATTTATTTGTTTTCTGGCCTTTGGAGAACACTGAAACACATTTAAAAAACTTAATTTGTGAATTGATGTTGCAGGTTTCACAAAGTTTTCAGAAATCTTTTAAAATCTATTTTCAGAAACTCATTTAACAAACGAGCATCTGTAATGATTTTATTTTGATTTAGATTGCAGCAGAAATTAAATCACATTTTGACTTAAACATTTTAAGATGTGCTGAATGTTTGATTTAATCCCAGATACGAGATAAAATAAGAAGTACTTTGTGTAAAACTGTATTTGATGTGGAATGAGTAGCCCTTCTTATTCATCTATTATATTTTTGGATTACCATATAATGGTGTGGATCTATCAGCTGCATATTTACAACTTGTTGGGACTGAATTAAACTTAAATTGTGCCAATTTTTCATGTTTGTAAATTGTTTTTTTTGCATTTAAAAAAAGTCTTAATCCCATTTCTTGCTTTCATTTCCTCATTTTCTTGCAGGTAAATTTAATTTAATAGTAGCCAACTTTCAACAAATGTTCTCCCTGAACATGTTTTGGGGTAATTTATTTGCATCTAATTGTTTCATTTATTGCAACATTCTGACGTTACAACTCTAGAATAGCATGTTAGATATTTTTGTTTCAAGCAAACAGAAACCTGTAAACATGACATTTGTAAAAGAATGGTTTATTATTTGATTAAAAATAAACATAAAATACATTTCAAATGCCAAGCAAGTACTTGTATTAAAAAACAAACTAAATGAATAAAATACAAGTCTAATACGTTGGAATACATGCCAAAATTAAGAAATTTTAAAAAGCTGCAGGTTAATCTGACACGGTACTATCCCTCATCTGTCACAAACAGGTGGCCACTTGTTAGACTGAACTTGCCTCAATGCAAATCCCAGCTTGATAAGAGACCGGCTTGCTCTGTATGTGAAGTCATTTCCTCCCTGGGGGAGGCTGTGTCTCGTGTTTACAGCAGCTCAGACAAACTCTCTCCCAGGTGTTGTGGATTTTGGTGGGGTGTATTTAGGGCCGTTATAGCGGTCTCCTCCTGATGGGCACTGACAGCACAGAAGAGCTCCGCCGATCAGCAGCAGGCCTGCAGCCCCCCAGCCCACGTACAAACACGCGCCCAGCTCTCTCCTCTGAGCATCGGGCACCATGGGGTTGTAGAAGTCTTTGATGATGGTGTTAGCAGGCAGACAGACGGTCACGAGACACAGAGCTCCACTCAGGAGGAAGAAAACCCCTGCAGAGATGCACACTCGAGCTTTTGCCGCTTCATCCTCGATGCAGGTGGTGCACTTCCCGCCGACCACGGAAAGCAGGAGGCCGAAGAGCGAGAAGAGGATGGAGATGACGATCATGGCTCGAGCTGCCTGGAGGTCCGGCGGCAGGGCCAGCAGGGAGTCATAGACTTTGCACTGCATCTGGCCTGTGCTCTGCACTACACAGCTCATCCACAGGCCTTCCCAGATGGTCTGAGCAACCACAATGTTGTTGCCAATAAAAGCAGAAACCTTCCACAAAGGCAGCATGCAGATCAAGATGTTTCCAATCCAGCCAAGCACGGCAAGAGTGACCGCCAGAATCTGCAGCCCCAAAGATGCCATGGCTGTTTCTGTTAGTGTTCTGCTCCTCCGCAGCCAAATGAAAAGGTTCTCCTCCTGTTGTGAAGTTTTATACGACCCCTGTCTGGGTGGGCGCTCTGGCCCCAGCACTCACATGTAAACATCCATCATGCTGCCTTTGAGTGCAGAGGCCTTTCTCTCCCATAAAGAGGCCCTGTAATGCCCTGAGAAACAAAAAGAAGAGTTTTGTTGGAATCCTCTGTCTGTAAAAGACAGACACAAAGAGATCTTTTACAGCACAAGTTATATTAAAAACTTAAAATATCTCAAATTTCTTACTTCTGAGATCAAAACTCAAAAGTTATGAAAAGGTCTGAGCTCATTTGACACAGAATGCAGATGAACAATTTGAGAACCAGAGCAAGAAAGAACCCAATTAAATCTCCAGTTTGTCTCACTTCTATCTATTTTTTATTTTTTTTATTTATTTAGCCTTTATTTATCCAGGTTAGTCTCATTGAGCCACGAGAACTCATTTTCAAGAGAGACCTGTTTAGGGAGCACATGGTGGGGTTAAGGGCCTTGCTCATGGGCCCAGAGTGGGGCGAATGAGGGTGGGGGCAAGTGTGGGTGTTTCACCTACCCCACCCACAATTTTTTTTTATGTTGTCGGGGCCGGGGCGTGAACCGGCGATCTTCGGATCACAAGCCCACCTCTCTAACCTCTGCGCCACCACTCCCCACTCCCTTGTATTTAGATCAAATGAATGAATGAATGAATAACAGGATGGATGCTTTTTTAAACTTAATTATTTAGTCAATGTTAAAATCCTTATAAAACATGAGTTTGTCTCCCTCTGCATGGGTTTAGTAACTTAGCAGTGTCTCTGAAAGTAAAAACAAAATCTTTGGACTTTGGCTGCATTTTCACTTATTTTGTGTCTCTAGATCTTTAATCTATAAATCAATCAGGGATAAAAAGGCTCAAACTGAACGGATTAACAAAAAACTATTTTAAATCAACTCAATAGACTGTTGTAGCAACCTGTCAAAAAGATGATTTGTTCAGTTGTTTTTTTGTTGTTGTTTTTTAAAAAAATAAATTTATGAAAAATACTAAAGGTAACAGTTTGCCAGACGTAAGGTAACTCCCAAGTGAATTTCTTAAAGACATGAGTTTCAGATATTGTTCATTTGATGTAGCTTTTTTTTTTAATCTATCATTTTTTTATTTTGTCCTACACTTGTCCAATGTTATATTTTAAATTAAACACTATTCAATCTGCTGTCATGGTATGAAATGAGTGCAAAAGCAGCCATAAAATTAAGAAAAATTTTAAAAGACCTTCAGAAAGTCTGGAGATCTACAGATCAAGATCAAATTACAAGGAAACGTGGCTCCTTTAAAACAAAAAATTATGTGGTTTAAAACTTGAGCATAGCAGTTTATATACAATAGACTTTACATAAAATCTAAAAAATACATAATTATCATCGGGGAAAAAAAACAGCAATACTTGGCAATCCAATATTAAACCTCTTCCATTCTCCTGCAGGTTTAATCTAATCCATTAATCTATTTCAGATGATCTTATACACATCAAACATTTCCTTTAATTTCTAGCAGAAATGTCAACGTTTCATATCTCACCTTCATCTCATTGCACTGATCAGTTAACCATGCATCTCTACAGTCTCTTGATATTGGTTTCCATTTTATAAAAATTTAATGATAGCAATATTCTGAAATTTTTGATTGAAAATTGAATTAACTGATTTTTTTTCATAAAAGTCTCATTTATTAATAAGTGACCTTATTTCTACAGATTTAAAAGATCAAATAAAGATAAACTAAATATGATAAGAACTACCTTTAGTAGAAAATAAACAATTGTTTGCTGTTTACCTGCAGATTTAGTATTTCCTGTGAATGTTGTGTCTGCTGAAGCTCATGCTCAGGTAAAACCACTCAGCTTGATTGCAGCACCAGTAAAAGATCCCAGGTGTTTTCAGTTCTGCCAGTTTCCATCAACCAATCCGGGTAAAGACCTGCACCTTCATGTAGATATATAAAAATCAGAAGGTGAGGGTCATCACTAAAGCAGCTGTGTTTTCATACAGCTTTTGGCTCAGGAGCAGTCAAGATGGCAGCTGCAGGGCTTCAGATTCTTGGTGTTCTTTTGGCAAGTATTGGATTCGTGGGCGACATCATCGTCTGCGCCCTGCCAATGTGGATGGTGTCTGCCTTCATTGGTAACAACATTGTGACGGCCCAAGTCTTCTGGGAGGGCCTCTGGATGAACTGTGTGCAGCAGAGCACTGGTCAGATGCAGTGCAAGGTCTACGACTCCATGCTGGCACTGCCCCAAGACCTGCAGGCCGCCCGGGCTCTGGTGGTCATCTCCATCCTGATTGCCTTTTTGGGAATCCTGCTTGCCGTCATTGGTGGAAAGTGCACCAACTGCATTGAACAAGAAGAGTTCAAGAGCAAGATAGCTATCGCTGCAGGTGTGTTCTTCATCGTTGCTGGCATCCTGTGCATCATCCCTGTGTCGTGGTCTGCTCACGTGACCATCAGGAACTTTTACAACCCAATGCTGATCGACGCACAGAGGAAGGAGCTGGGAGCAGCGCTGTTCATCGGCTGGGGCTCAGCAGGACTCCTGATCATCGGTGGGGGTCTCCTTTGCTGTCAGTGTCGGCAGCAGAAGGACGGTGGGTACTCTGTTAAGTACTCTGCCCCCCGCTCAGCAGCTGCCAGCACTGGAGCCTATGTTTGAAACTTGACTTTTTTTTTTTTTAAATTTGTTTCTTTAGGAAACTCTGGAACTTGAGCCTTGAATTTTATCTTTACTGATTTTTAATAAAATATCTTTTACATTTTGTGGTTCTGTACAACTCTTTGCACTAATTTTCCAAGTGCCTTCAAAAAGACACATCCTTGACTAATTTGGTATAACTTTTATGCCACGTTTTTACTTATCCAGTTTAAGACTTTTTCCACTTTATTTTTCTAGTAGCTTTACTAAAATGGCAACAGTCTAAAAGTTGATCAGGGACATGCAGATTTCAGGTGGTGCTAGAGCACCTGCTCTTTCACCTCTAAACCAGGGCAATTACTGCTTGAAATTTGCAGTATATGGGGAATTTTGAATTTAAAACTTTTCTAATTCTTCCAACATGCAAATTCAGCATGAAGTGCTGCAACCCTGGGAAGCAGAACTGTCTTTATATCAAAGCAGCTACTGAGGATGAGTCGAAACCAGTCATTGGGGGAACAAATTGTGTCTATATAGGGCACTTCGTGTGTGTTTTTTTTTTTTTTTTTTTTTTTTTTTTTTTTTAGGAGGAAAAAATTGGCAGCTTGAATTTTTGGCCATGACGGTTAGTTTTACAGTGAGTCTGAAATTCATGGCTTTGACTCTCGCCAGCATGCTAAACATGTTTTTGGGCAGCTACAGAAGCAGCTCTACTGTCCTGCGAGGGAGATGATCATTGGAAAACGAGCCAAACGCAAATAAAGCTAAAACTCTATTTGTATACTGTAGTGCCATGTCAAAGGGCAATGAACACATTCACAAAGGGCGTGGACAGACTATGCTCTCTGATCAAAACAAGGGAGAGATTGAAGGAGGATCCTCCACGGAAGAATATATGAACAATTGTGTATAAAATGTATTTTAAATACACTAAAGAATGGAAAATGTGGCTTTTTTTTTTTTTCTGTTGCCAATTTGTTAACCTGCTGAGTGTTCAATATTAAACAGAGCATTTTGCTATTGATTTGAAATGGATTAGAATAATGTAATATGTGCCTGTAATCTCACACTATGGTAGCTGGCAGTTTCATGCACTGCACAAGGTGCCCTTTTTTTCCACTTGAACACCCGCCCCCCAAAATGTCTTTGCACGATACTGATTAGGTATCACAGCCACTTCAAGAGTTCAAGATCTGCATTGTTGAAAGCAATAAACAAGCAGTTAAATTAGTTTTAAAATATGTTTTTGCAGTTTTGGTAAACACTTGGCAGGACTTTCCAGGAACTTCACACCACCAAGAGTTCCAGACTCTGGTCCAACATTTGTTGAATAACTCTCGTCAGGGAAATGTCAAAAGTACAAACCTAAAAACATATTTTTGTTTAAACCTGTACAAAAGCTTTTTTTTTTTTTTTTTGCTTTTGTGTTGTACTTAGGATAAATATGTGCCTTGTCTCATTTAAAGCTTGTGATAAAAATCTTTCGGATAACAAAGCTGTTTTTGTCACCTGGCCCAAAGCTTTTCTTAGAACTGGAATCAGGACAAGCAAGAAACTTGAGCCACACACTTGCAAATCCCCTCCCAGCTTCACTTCTCGTACCTGCGGTGTATAAACACATCCTCAAACATCCAGCAGCGCTCACAGCCGAGTGAAAGCTGGTTGTACAAATGAAATTTAAAGCAACATACGTTTTATTTTTTACAATATGTGGGGAATTTTAACCCATTCTTTGTGCTGTTTATCCACAAGATGAAGACTCAGCTCGTTGGTTTTTGTTTGGCGATCCTCGGCTTTCTTGGAACCATTCTTATCTGTGCTCTTCCTATGTGGAAGGTGACTGCCTTCATTGGAGCGAACATCATCACCGCTCAGGTGTTTTGGGAAGGCCTGTGGATGAACTGCGTGCTCCAGAGCACAGGTCAGTTACAGTGCAAAGCCTACGACTCTGTTCTGGCTTTACGACAGGACCTGCAGGCCTCTCGGGGCCTGATCTGCTCCTCACTTGGCGTCAGCGTGCTGGCCATCGCGCTCAGCGTGGTTGGGGTCCGGTGCTCCAACTTCTATCGAGACGACCAGCGAACTAAAACCAACATCGGAGTGGGAGGAGGTGTGGTGTTTATAATCGCAGGGATCCTTTGTCTCATACCAGTCTGCTGGATGGCTTACACCATCATCACAGGATTTTATGATCCTCTGGCCACAGACGCAATGAAGGGAGAACTGGGAGCGTCCATTTACGTCGGCTGGGTGTCGGGGGCTCTGCTGGTCATTGGAGGAGGGATACTGTGTGGTACCTACAGATGCTGAGGCTGCAGAGCGCACAGTGGCATCCATTCAAAACATCCTGAAGAACTGCTGCAAAAAATGTTTACTGTGATTGATTTGATGTTTTAATGACATAAAATTGACATTTTGATACAAAGATCTTGTAGAAAGTGCCGATTAAAGTGTGAATTGTTAGTTTGAAGGATAAGCATTTAATGCATGTTCATAGAAGTTGAAGGGAAATTAGAATGAATTATTGTATATTTCTAAATCACAGAATAAATAGAAAAAATACTCGGTTGCAGTTTTTTTAAAAGCAAGTGCTGACAAATTCAAAATGTTGAAAGAATGTTTAATAATCTTTTGAATACTTTAGTCGTGCTGCATGTTCAGGTTTCCTTTACCTGTTTGTGAAGCTGAATAAATGCAGTAGGAGGAAAATGTACTTATAGGTTGATTTTTTTTACAAATCGACACATAAATTAATCTGTTAAAAATCTACTTTAAAGCCTGTTGTCAACTAAAAGTTGAACTGCTGTGTAAAATTGTTCCTTTTTTTATAATAACTATACATTTAAAATGTTTTGTGAGAAGTCACAAGTTGTTCTTTATGTTTTGTAAAATGAAGGGATTAAAACGTCATGATGCATGCTCATTAATCCAGGTAGAAAAATGTAACAAAGTTAAATCAGGTCCTCTGGACAGATTAAATAAATAAATAAATAAATAAATAAATAAACTTGAAACGTTTCGTCTTTAATCCAAAAGACTTCTTCAGTCTGAGGAGCTGCAGTAAACTCAGTCTTATAAACAGCTCCTTCTCATAGTGGATCAACCAGTTTGTTGTTGACAGCCAGAACTAGCTGTTCACGTGATCAAGGACCATCAGCCTAATGATCGATCAATAGTGCTCTGATGGCCGCTTGCTATTCACAGAGGGTTGAGTGATACTAGTAAAGCATCCTGCATCCTGCACATTTCTTTTTTTCTCCACAAGTCCTGGATATTTTTTATTATTTCCAATCCACAAACATTTTATTAAAAGATACACACCATGCTTTTATTTATTTTATATCAGGCAACGTTTGGTCTCAGATAACAAATCTAAACATAATGACAGAAATGAGCAAACGATTAGTTTAACTGAGACCAGAACAGATATTTTTCATTTATCTCAGAAACCATGCTGATGTTTGAGTTTTGTCCAAGTCACAGTGAAATGTTGAAGATGAACTTGTCTTGGTTCTTTGCTGCAGAGGATGATTATTTTTAAAAAGCAGAGTAAAAGGTCTGATACTGGATTCGTGTTTTACTCTTTTGGTTTGAAACATAATTTGTTGGAACAAATATTAGTTTTTTATTTTATTTTACTTTGCTTATGTTGTAAATTTGATCATTTCCAAATATGCTAAACAGCTGCTGACATATAAAACAAGAAGAATCAAATCAATACAAGTCAGGATCAATGAGAAACAGGTACAGTTTCTCTGTGTTAAAGGGATAGTTCAGATGTTTTGAAGTGGGGTTCTATTGAAACAATATGAACATTTCTTTTCTTACATGCAGTTTTTAAATGATCTCAAAATGAAGAAATAAAGTTTAATTTAGATCAGATAAAAGATTGCAATTAGTCTAAGCAGGGCAGAGACTAAAGTGGGTTGCTGCCATCTTTAATTATTTCCAGTTGAATAAATTTCGCCCGGCGAGGGCAGACGTGTTATAGTAGAGCCTCTGTCCATATGTAAACTTTCTCCTGTAACTTTTAATGAAACTTGATACACACATGCACCATCAGTAGACAGAGGGGTGTGCACACTTTTCATCACAGCTTCAAAGTCAAGGTCACAAATCAAGATCAAAAGTTATGTGAGGTTTTTGCTTGTCTGTGGATTGCTATATATTACTGTATTGCTGTGTCATGGTTTGTCGACAGGCGCATCGTGCGCAGGACTTTTGTTTAAACCCTTGTCATTTTTCATTACACAGTTGTTCGAGCAGAATATTGTGATATTTCCATTGGAGGTACCCCAGGCTGCACTGGAAGTGCTTGTTAAAATAACTTTTGGCTTGCACAGTGGTGTTTAGTGAATGTGCAGAATGTGTTCCTGGTTAGGCTTTTAAGAAAATTAAATTCCTAGAACTAGAACCAGTTTTTCCGGCTGGGTGCAGCTCGTTATCTTTTGTCAGACATCCTGTACGTAACTCAACTGAGCAGAAGGTAACCTTCTCAATCGCTCTGTAATTGTAACTGTCCTAATCACTTGTTAGGCTTTTGTCATTTTATTGCTCCTAAATGTGATTGAGTTAGATGAGAGTACAAACCTTTTGTTTTGGTGGAAAAAAAAAAGGCAATTTAATGTAAAATAAAACCTTTTGAATCTTAGAGTTTCTCACAAAATGTCATGTGATTCAGTGGTTCATATTATTATTATTATTATTATTATTATTATTATTATTATTATTAGTAGTAGTAGTAGTAGTAGTATTCAGAATCAGCTTTATTGTCATTACACAGTGCACAAGAAAATTACATTTCAGTACAGCCCATCTGAAGAACCACAAACAAACAAACAACAGACTTGGGTAGACGAGGTGACCGAGGCGACAGCCTCTGAGAGGCACTCCTTTTTTATTAGATTAGAAAAAGGGAAAGACGAGGGAAGAGGAGGTAAAAAAAAAAATCAAATCTCTCACCGTGTCCCTGCAGGACACAACGTGACATTGCAAAAAACACACAGCACATAAAAAAACACAACATACAGACATAAGACATATGTGTGGAGTGGGTGGGGGTCCCAGTGCAGACTGCCAAATGAGCGCCAAGCAGCTTAACAATGGCCAGAACAGCCGACGACGTTTTCCGAATTTGTCGATAAGCCAGGTAACCACCAACTCCAAAAAGCAGAAATCCTGTTATCATAAATCCAATTATGTGCACATCTTCAGCGTCCTCGACCGACAAGAGAGACACACAATCTTCCACTTCCCCCAGGAATCCATTGTGTACCCAGCTGCTGATGTTCCATCAGGGCAAGAGGAATCTCCCTCGCCCTGTCTTCCTGTTGAGAAAATTTGATCAATGGCATTGAGAGACCAGCTGACCAGATCCATAATTTACAGTTCGGAAGATATGCAGAAAAAGGCTCTGAAAAAGGTTCACTGGAAAAAGAGCAGAGCAAGGACGGAGCAGGAGAAGTGTCTGCCTTCACCGAGGGCAAGCAAGAAAAAAAAGAGGAAAATTATTATTATCATCATCATCATCATCATTAGCATTATTTTATATGTTCTGTGTTTTTATACAACGACAACATTTTATCCCATGAGGAATTAAAAAATGTGTTTGGAGCTTCATTAGCATCATGAGCTTTTAGTAAAGAGTCTAATTACAACACATTTTACTGGGGTATTATAACAACATAAAAATACTGTTCCTGATATTTATCATTATACAGCATTTACTGAATATATAATAGACAAGCTCCAATATAATTTATTGGTTTACATCATCAGTGAACTTGATATTTTTGGAGATCAGGGCGGATTGTGAAGTTACCATCAAACTTAACTTTAACGTCTAAGCATCTAAGAGAGAAACATTTTTTAAAATGGAAACCTTAAAATGGTTGGACTTTCAGAGTTAATTGTGTATTTTTATTTTATTTTATTTCTAAATATTGTGATGACACAAATATGATGCCTCAAACATGAAAATCAAAAAGAGGGGTAATGGAAGATTTCTTGAAATGCAGTCAAAATGACTTTTAACTTGGGTTTTTTTTTTTAGTATAACCATTTTTGGAACAAGGACATTTTGTCACAGTCCTAATTATGATGTCATCTTTATTTAATTTCATTCACGTTTGGCAAAAACTGAATCAAAATACCACTAAAAACATCAAAGTTAGTAGATCTGTTGTTGTGTATTAGGTGTGACCTTAAAAGGATCGAGTTGTTAGAAACTTTCCGTACAGGAAGTTGTGACGTAAACACTTTAACACCTTCATGTGGAAGGCTGAGCTCCTGGTATCGATTGGGTTTCTGAGAGCTGTGAGTCATAAGACTCACCATGACTCTATCTTTAACTTATAGAAATAACATTTCTATATTGTATATAAATATATGTATATATATTATACATGTATTTTAAGATCAACTCTTCAACAAACAAACAACAACAACCCAATAATAGATGAATAGAAATAAACTTTACATAAAAACATTTAATCGTTTCACATTAGAAGTTATGGCATTTTTTCTATATGAATCACTTGATAAGTGAATCCTTGTTAGTTGCTATATCTCGCATCAGGCAAAAATATTTAAAAGATAACTTTAAATCTACAAAACAAACAGGACAGTGCTTTGATGTTATACAGTTTGTCTTGTATCTCTGTGATTTTCTCTTCATGGTCCTTTAGTTCGTCTCATAAACTGTGCTGATTAGTGTAAAGCAAGCCGGTTCAGTGAGAATCCTTCGCAAACCAGTTTCAGCTTTGGGTCGACAAGCTCCTCCTCTGATGTTTTCTCCCATTAAAACCAGCTATAAAGGAGTCAGCTTCTTCGCTGAGCAAGCAAGGAAAACTACTCACCGCTCTGAGCTCTACAAACAAAACTGTGCAGCTTTCCATCAGTAAAGACAGCGACAGCGCTTCAGCATGGTGGCAGGAGGAAAACAGATTCTGGGAATGGCTCTGGCCATCGTCGGCTTTCTGGGGGCCATCGTCATTTGCGGTCTCCCCACCTGGAAAGTCACCGCCTTCATTGGCGCCAACATCGTCACCTCTCAGATAATTTGGGAGGGTTTGTGGATGAACTGCGTGACTGAGAGCACAGGCCAGATGCAGTGCAAAGTCTACGACTCCCTGCTGGCCTTACCTCAAGACCTACAAGCTGCCAGAGCTCTGGTCATCATCGCCGTCATCGTTGCGATCTTTGGGATCTTGCTGGGCGTGGTGGGTGGCAAATGCACCAACTTTATATCGGATGAAGTTCAAAAGATCAAAGTGGCCATCGCTGCCGGAGTCACCTTCATCATCGCAGGCGTTTTGGTGCTCATCCCAGTCTGCTGGACTGCCCACACCATCATTCAGGATTTCTACAACCCAACCTTGATCAGCGCCCAGAAGAGGGAACTGGGAGCCTCCCTCTACATTGGCTGGGGTTCTGCTGGACTGCTGATATTGGGGGGAGCCCTCCTCTGCAGCTCCTGCCCCCCGAGCGAGGAAAAGTATAACTACGATGTTCGGTACTCCAAGGCTCAGTCTGCGATGAGCAGCAAGGAATACGTTTAGATCTTCAAATAGGATGAATGTTGTTTGAAAGTTCGACCTTTTGTTTGACTGTTGGAGAAGAGTCAAGTTCCTGAATGAAATAAATTAAATATCTGTTTTAACCTTCGAAACATGGATACAGTCAACACATGTTGTAAAATGTGCCGTGTTTTGATTCTTTATTTATAAATGCACATCTATATATATTTTCAGAGTTTTTTTTTTTATACCAAGTACTATTGTGGACACTTTCAGACCAGCACTTTTAAGATGTTTTCTTATAAATAAATCTATTTTTTCTTTTTGATTCAAAACTTATGTATAAAAACATCTATATTTTTACTTTGACAATGTAAATGTTACTTTAGAGATTAATGCTTTGCTAATGTATCTCTTTAAATTAAAGAGAATTTTTGAGTCTTATAGCTATTAGAACATTTTCCCTTTTATTTTTGGTTGAACATTTGTTCCTGTTTGTAGCAATAAAATCCACTGGTTTGGGCAGTTTTGACTTAAAACTGTTGTTGTTGTGTTTTTATTTAATGCCAAGATCAATTACAGTAAAGTTAGAAGACAAAACAGCCACGTTCAGTTCATCCAGTTTAGCAAGTGATCACAAAAAAATCTTTACAAACAAGTTTGTGACGTGCGACCAGCCCAAACCCTGACTAAATAAACAGAGAAAGAACGAAACACTTGTGTTTGTGTTTGTAGGTTCTTACAACAGAACGTCATAATATATATATATATATATATATATATATATATACACACACACAATTTACAACAAAGTTAAGAATTCTCACTGTTCTGAAAGATAGATAGAT